AAAATTCCCCCCTGGGGTAGTAAAGGGTTGGGAACAGGGAGCCATCCAGGGAGGTACTACCCTCCTGTGGTAGTTTGGTTTGGGGAACGCAACCACCAGGGAGGGACTGCCCTCCTGTGGTATAGGTTTTGGGAACAGGGGCCCATCCCGGGGGGACTACCTTCCTGTGGAGTGGTTGGAAGACAGAAAACCCTCCAAAGGGGGGTACCTCCCGGGTTTGTAGGTTGGGAAACACAGCCTCCAGGAGTACACCCCTTTCCCGTGGGTAGGGTTTGGAACAGCATCCAAACCCGGGGGGTACTACCTTTCCCGGGGGGAAATAGGTTTTGGGAACCAGCCCGCAGGGGGGTACTAAACCTTTCCGTGGTTTGTAAGGGTTTGGGAGACAGCATCCAACCCCGGGGGGTACTACCTTCCTTTGGGAAGGGAGGGGGTTAAAACAGGGCCAAACCCGGGAGGACTAAACCCTTTCCCGGGTATTTGGGTTTGGGAAAACACACCCTCCAGGGAGGGGACTACCTTTCCCGGGGGTTTGTAGGTTGGGGAACAGCAGCCCTCCAGGGGGTACTACCTTCCTTGGGGGGGTAGGTTGGAAGACATCACCCTCCAGGGGGGGTACTAAACCTTTCCCGGGTAAATAGGTTGGGAGACAGCATCCATCCCGGGGGGTACTACCTTTCCCGTGGTAGTGGTTGGTAGACAGCATTTCCCCCCAGGGGAGGTACTACCTTCCCGTGGGAGTAGGTTTTGGTTAAAAGCAATTTTCCCGGGGGGGTACACCCCCTTGGGGAGGGAGGTTTGGTAGACACAGCAACCAGGGGGTACTACCTTCCTGTTTTAGTAGGTTTGGGGAACCGCAACCCTCCAGGGGGGTACTCCCCTTCCGTGGTAGTAGGTTGGTAGACAGAATCCATCCAGGGAGGGCTACCTTCCCTTTTGGGAGGGTTGGGAGACGGCATCCATCCCCGGAGGTACTAAACCTTTCCTTTGGGGGGGAGGGTTTTTTTTAAAAACACCATCCAGGGAGGTACACCCTCTTGGGGGAATAGGTTGGTAGAAAAGAAAACCATCCCCAAAGAGGAAATAACCCCCCTGTGGTAGTAGGGGTAAACGCAGCCATCCCGAGAGGGAAATACCTCCTAGTGTAGTAGGTTGGAAACATAACCCCTCCAGGGAGGGAACTTTCCTTTCCGTGGGAGTAGGTTGGTAGCAGCAGCCTCCAGGGAGGGACACCCCTCCTGTGGAGTAGGGGTTTTTCCCAAGCAAAAAAAACCAGGGGGTACTAAATTTCCCGGGGGGAAATAGGTTGGTAACAGCAGCCATCCAGGGGGGTAAATACCCTCCTGTGGGAAATAGGTTTGGGAGACATCAGCCACCAGGGAGGTACACCCCCCTGTGGTAGTAGGGTTGGGAACACAGCCATCCAGGGGTTTCTACCCTTTCCCGTGGGGAGTAGGTTGGTAAACAGCAGCCATCCCGGGGAGGGGACCCATCCCCCTGGGTAGTGGGGGGGTAGACATCACCCTCCAGGGGGACACCTTCCCGGGGGTAGTAGGTTTGGGGGGACAGCAGCCCCCCAGGGAGGTACTACCCCCTGTGGTAGTAGGTTTGGGAGACAGCAGCCCCTCCCCGGGGGGTACTACCCTCCTGTGGTAGTAAATTTTTTAGCATCACCAACCAGGGGGGGTAAATTCCTTCCTGTTAGTTTGGTTGGGGAGACCCACCAGGGAGGGGACACCTTCCTGTTTGGGAAGGTTTTGGGGGGGCACATTTTCCCCTCCAGGGGGGTACTTAAACCCTTTCGGGTATGTTTGGTAGACATTTACCAACCCGGGAGGGACAACCCTCCTTGGTAGTTTGGTTGGGAGAAAAGCAGCCTTTTCAGGGAGGACTTTCCTTCCTGTGGTATAAAATTGGAAGACATCCCGCCATCCAGGGAGGTTTCTACCTTCCTGTGGTGTAGGTTGGAAAACAGCCATCCCCGGGGGGTACTACCTTCCTGGGTTTTAGGTTGGTAGACAGCATCCATCCAGGGGTACACCTCCCGTGGTAGAAAGGGTTGGGAACAGCCCTCCATCCGGGAGGGTACTACCTTTCCCGTGGTAGGAAAGGTTTGGGAGACAGCAACCACCAGGGAAGGGGACCCACCTTCCGGGGGTAGTAGGTTTTGGGAGACATCAGCCACCCCGGGAGGTACTACCTTTCCCGGATAGTAGGTTTGGGGGAAAACAGCATCCATCCAGGAAGGAAAAACCTTTCCCGTTGAAAGGGGGGTAAACGCAGCCTCCAGGAGGTAAATACCCTTTCCCGTGGTGGTGGGGGGGGTAGACTCAGCCATCCAGGGAGGTAATTTCCTCCTGGGATTTGGTTTGGGGAAAAAACATCCATCCAGGGGGGGGAAAACCCCTGTGGGATTTGGTTTTAGGGCAGCATCCTCCAGGGGGGTACTAACCCAAATGGGGGAAAAGGTTGGGTAGACAGAATTTCCCTCCCCGGAGGTACTACCTTTCCCGTGGTGTTGGGTTTGGGGAACAGGGGGGTCCATCCCCGGGGGGTACTACCTTTCCCGGGAAAAGTAGTTTTTGGGAGACAATCACCATCCAAGGGGGGTACTACCCTCTTTTGGTAATAGGTTTGGGAAACAAACCTTGGCCATGAGGTTCCCTTTCCGGGGTAGTAGGGGGTTTGGAGACCAGCCATCCAGGGGGAAATTAAACCTTCCTGTGGGACATAGGTTGGTAACAGCAGCCATCCCCGGGGGGTCCCACCCTCCTTTGGTTTAGGTTGGGCGACAGCAACCATCCCGGGGGACACCTTCCTGTGGTAGAGGTTGGGAGACAGCGCCAACCAAAGGGACACCCTCCTGTTTGGAAATAGGTTGGAAACATCACCATCCAGGGAGGTACTACCCCCGTGGTAGTAGGGTTTGGGAGACATCAGGGCCCTCCGGGGGGTATTAAACCCTTTCCCGGGGTAGTAGGTTGGTAGACAGCAACCATCCAGGGGGGTTTCTACCTCCTGTGGAAATAGGGGTTGGGAACATCAGCCATCCAGGGGTACTCCCTTCCTGTGGTAGTAGGTTTTTAGAAAACAGCCACCAGGGAGGTCCCACCCTCCTGTGGAAATAGGTGGTAAACACAGCCATCCAGGGAGGTACAAAACCCCCCTTGGTAGTAGGTTTGGAAGAACACCAGCCCCGGGGGGTACTACCCCCTGTGGTAAATAGGTTTTGGGAGACGCATCATCCAGGGGGGTTTTCCCCCCTGTGGTAGTAGGTTGGAAAACAGCGGGGCCCTCCAAAGGGGGGGACTACCCTCCTTTTGGGGTGGGGGTTGTAACAGGAACCATCCATTTAGGGAAATACCCTCCGTAGTATTTGGTTGATTAAAAACAAACCATGGGGGGAGGTACTACCCTCCTGTATAAGGTTGGTAGACAGCAACCACGGGGGGTACGCCCCCTTTTGTAAATAGGTTGGTAACAGCAGCCCCTCCAGGGGGGTACTAAACCCCCTTTGGGAGTAGGGTTTGGGGAAAAGCCCCCAGGGGGGTAAAATACCTCCTGGGGGTTTTTAGGTTGGTAGACAGCAGTCATCCCCGGGGGGTACTACCCCCTGTGGTAGGAAGGGTTTTTAAACAGCCCACCAGGGGGGGACTACCCTCCTGGGGGTTTGAGGTTTGGGAACAGCAAAACCCCCGGGAGGTACAAACCCCCCCCGTGGGGTAGGTTTGGGAGACAGCAAACCAAACCCAGGAGGTACACCCTCCTGTGGGTAGTTTGGTAGACAGCAAAAAATCCCAGGAAAGGGGTTTTTTCTACCCTCCCCGTGGGGGAGTAGGTTGGAGACAGGGAACCTCCAGGGAGGTACTACAGGGCCTGTCCCCGGCACCCCTCTTTAAAAAAAAAAATTGGGAGACTGATACAGTTGCTTATCATTTCTTACCATCTCACGAGCACAAAATACAACAAATAAATATTAGGAACAGCAACTTATTTTCACTATACACATACGTTCACTTTTCTATGTGATTCTTACTAATTCTAAAGCCAATAACATAGCCTTTGCCACCAAGGTTTCCTGGTGTGAGTGGGTCGTGGGGAAGATAATTCCAAACACCACTAACAGATAACATAGCCTTTGCCACCAAGGTTTCCTGGTGTGAGTGGGTCGTGGGGAAGATAATTCCAAACACCACTAACAGATAACATAGCCTTTGCCACCAAGGTTTCCTGGTGTGAGTGGGTCGTGGGGAAGATAATTCCAAACACCACTAACAGATAACATAGCCTTTGCCACCAAGGTTTCCTGGTGTGAGTGGGTCGTGGGGAAGGTAATTCCAAACACCACTAACAGATAAAATAATCTTGTAAGGTCTGTGACAGCAGTGACAGTACGTGGAGTGACTACAGTTCGAGCTTCACAGACTGCATTAGTTTTATTAAATTTATGGCGGAGTGCCACGTCTGTTGAGGTCGTAAAATGTGAGACTAGTGTATTCACAGACTGTAGATGGTGCACCATCATAGTTAATGTAACTATCAACACTGAAGATGGTACACTATCGTATTTCTGTAACTACACTGGCAATAATAATGTTTATTTCTACCAGTACATGATACAACTTATACAGACCATAGCTGACATCAATGACATTTCCTGCAACTTAGGTTAATTTTGTCTCCAGAATGCCACCCACACCCGTCAACTATCCCCCAGGTACCTACTTACTGCTAGGTGAAGGGGAACAGCAGGGTATCTTAAGAAAACATGCCCAATGTTTTCACCTTAACCGGGAATCGAACCACGGACACTCAGTATGTGAGCTGAGTGCGTTACCAACCCAGCTACTGGACACCATTGTTAAATTTATTCAGGTATACACAAATACAGTTACATAGATTATATATTATCATACAAGCATGTGTGTAGAGAACCTGGGATAACCCAGTGACTTCGACTGGGGTTACAGTCTGGTACTCAGTCAGCTACTAAGACTAACCTTCCACTCGTAGAGGCAGTCATTGACGAGGTCAACAGTGAAGACTGGATCCTTGGCATTCTGCTGGCCTCTGGAAAGCTCCTGAAACTCCTTCATCAACCTCCTAGTTCTGACGATCTTCATGTGTTTAGTAGTGGACTCGTTCAGGATCCCACCGCCGCTGCCACCACTGCCTCCAGCCGCGCCGCTGCTACCCTGGGATGCCTTTTTGAAGAGGACGCCCGTGGAGGTGGGTGCAGACGCCCCCAGGGGAGTTTTACCACGGCTGGAAGACTTGGGGCTGTGTTGACTGACCACTCCCTCAGAAGGCCCTACCCGGCTGCCTTCCAAGTAGGTGTGTCTGGAGAAGAACTTCCGTGCTGTGGAGGGAGAGTTGAGGCCATTGTGGCCTCCAGCACTCCCCCCATCACCACTGCCTGCCCCAATACAACCTCCACCACCCACCAACGCCACCACACCTTCACCTGTGGTGTCTTGGCCCCATGCACCAGATAGCTGGCTTCTGTTACCCGCTGTGTTCATTGAGGTTCTAGAGCTGGAGTCTCTACAAGTGTTGTGGTTGATGTGGTTGTTACTGGTGGTGGTAGTTGTGGTAGTGGTGGTGGTAGGAGAAGCCTCGGTGGTGTGGTACTGGGGCTCCAACTTGTCGCTGGAACGGAAGAGCTTTCGGAAAGCAGCGGCCATCTTGGTGCCCTGCGTCAGGAGTTGTTGGCGAAGGAGGGAGTGTAGCGACGAGCACCGCTGACGCCGCAGGGGCTGACCGCGGCGCTGACGGTGGTGAGGGAACCTCCTGACGGTGTCCTCCACCTTCTCCACCACGCTCTCCTCCCTCACCGCCTCCCTCACCGCCCGTCCACGCATCAACGCTTTCACCTCACGCCCTTCCCCACGCCATCTTTGTAAACAATATCATTACCATTGTAAAAAAAAAAACTGTCTCCATCAATTTGCACCTCCCCTCCCCTCCTCCACTACCCTACACCTCTCCCTCACAATGCCCCAACAATGTCCGATAATCTTACGAACACCTCGTTCACACGTAAGGCAGTACATCCAGTGAGCATTCGAACACAGTTCCACAGAGGCTGAAACTCGATGCTCCGTTACCAGTTCGGAAATATTTGGTAACACATTTCCAAGACACGCACTTCTGGACACGGGGAGACTAGGAATATGGACATTTTTCTTTATCCTGGAAGATCCATGCCAAGGAATCGCAGACCACAAATCCTGCGAAATCCCGGCGGCTATAAACAAGAGGATCTTCTCACAGAGAGATCAAAGCCGGTGAGATCCCAACTCACGTCCTGGTGACACGCACCAGCTGCCTTCAACACAACCTGAAGAAACAAAGAAAATATATATATATATGTATACTTTACACTTTACAAAAAATTTAAGAAAAACCCCTTTTCTTTCTTACACCCACACACACACACACACACAAATGACGTAGTGGAGGCAGAAACCATACATAGTTTTAGACGGGTTTGATAAAACTCATGGAGCGGGGAGAGGAGGACCCAGTAGCAACCGGTGAAGAGGCGGGGCCAGGAGCTAAGACTCGACCCCTGCAAAACCCTAAATAGGTGAGTACAAATAGGTGAGTACACACCCCACACCACACATAGCTTTAAGCAGAGGTATGATAAAGCTCACGGTTCAGGGAGTGACCTAGTAGCGACCCGTGAAGAGGCGGGGCCAGGAGCTTGGACTCGACCCCGCAACCTCAACTAGGTGAGTAACCACACACACACACACACACACACACACACACACACACACAACACACATAAGGAACTAAGGAACATAAGGAAACTAGAGAAAGTGTAAAGGTTTGCAACTAGACTGGCCCCGGAGCTAATAGGTTGTCCTACGAGGAAAGGTTTTAAGAGAAATCGACCTGACCACACTGGAGGAACGAGAGATAGGGGGATATGATAACGACATATAAAATACTGAGAGGAATCGACAAGGTAAACAGAGACAGGTTTGTTCCAGAGATGGGACACAGCAACAAGGGGACACGTTGGAAGTGAAGATTCGGAGGAATACAGGGATGTTAGGAAGTATTTCTTCAGTTACAGAGTTGTCAGGAGGTGGATAGCCTGAGAAGTGACATAGTGGAGGCAGGAACCATACATAGTTTTAAGACAGGGTATGATAAAGCTCATGGAGCAGGGAGAGAGCAGACCCAGTAGCAATCATTGAAGAGGCGGGGCCAGGAGCTAAGTCGACCCTGCACCCACAAAAAAAGTGGTAATTGGTGAGTGTACACACTTTTTTACTGTAGGCAACGTTTCGCTCTCCAGGAACTCTGAAGAGCGAAATGTCGTTATATTTCCCTCTCTCTCTATGTAGGGTTGTGTGTGTATTGTTCCAGTCACCGTACTGTAAGATAAGATTTTGTTGGGATTTTTAACCAGGAGAGTTAGCCCCCCATGATAGCCCAAGAAAGTCAGTGCGTTATGGGGGGACTGTCCGTGGTTCTTCAATCTTTTTCCCCCGGGAGTGCCACCCACACCAGTCCACTAGCACCAGTATGCCACCCACACCAGTCACCTAACACTCGGATGCCACCCATACCAGTCCATTTAACATCCAGATGTGACCCACACAGTCCACTAACTCCAAGATGTGACTCACATCGTCCATAACCCCAGGATGTGACCCACACCAGTCCACTAACACCCAGGATGTGCCCACACCAGTCCACTAACACCAGGATGCCCCCCAACACCGTCCACTAGCACCCAGTATGCCACCCACACCAGTCACCTAACATTTCAGGATGCCCACCATACCAGCCCACTAACATCCAAGATGTGACCCACATCAGTCCACTACATCCAAGATGTGACCCACACCAGCCCACTAACACCCAGGATGTGACCCACCCAAAGCCCACTAACACCCGGATGTGACCCACACCAGTCCACTAACCACCAGGATGTGGACGCACACCAGTCCAGTAACACCCAGGATGTGACCCACACCAGTCCACTAACACCCAGGATGTGACCCACACCAGCCCACTAACCCCCAGGATGGGGCCCCACACCAGTCCAACTAAAAACCAGGATGTGACCACACCAGTCACTAACACCAGGATGTGACCACACCAGTCCACTACACCAGGATGTGACCCACACCAGCCCACTAACACCCAGGATGTGACCCACACAGTCCACAAACCCAACCAGGATGTGACCCACACCAGTCCCATAACACCCAGGATGTGACCCCACCCCAGTCCACTAAACACCCAGGATGTGACCCACACCAGTCCATTAACACCCAGGATATGACCTACACTAGTCCACTAAAAACCCAGGATGTGAACCCACACCAGTCACTAACACCCAGGATTGTGACCCACCCAGTCCATTTAACCCCAGGATGTGACCCACACCAGTCCACTAACACCCAGGATGTAAACCCCACCAGTCCACTAACACCCAGGATGTGACCCACATCAGTCCACTAACACCCAGGATGTGACCCACATCAGTCCACTAACACCCAGATCCCTGTTCTACTAGGTGAACAATGACAGCAGGTGTAAGGTAACTAAAACCCAGGTCCCTTTACTTACTGCTAGGGTAAAACAGTGGACAGCAGGTGTAAGGAAAACCAGCCCCCAGGTACCTACTTACTGCTAGCGTAAACAGTGACAGCGGTGTAAGGAAACCAGCACCCGGGTACCTACTTACTGCTAGGTGAGCAGTAAACATCAGGTTTTAAGGAAACCGGCCAGTGTTTCCACCCATGCCAGGGGTAAAACCGTGGACACTGATTTTTTTGGGGGCAAGAGCGTTGTCAACCAGGCCAGGGGCTACCGTGGGTTGTTTACATTTTACAATTATACATTCAGCATCTAAAATTTTATTTTAATATTTACGTTTTAGTCACAACACGGCTTTATGTACAGTTTTCACCGACACATACATGCTGGGCCAGGAGCTATGAATCGACCCCTGCAACCACAATTAGAGAGTACACACACACAATATTGGAGTATGCAGCACCATTTTGGGAAACCCCACACCTGGTTCAAGCACGTTAGAAATTAGAGAAAGTTCAAAGGTTTGCAACAGGACTAGCCCCGGCCCTGAGGAGGAGAGGTTAAGGGAAATGAACCTGGTGAAACGGGGAGAACAGGAGGGACAGGGAGGACATGAGGGCTAGGGGAATGATTAACATATAAAATACTGAGAGGAATTGACAAGGTGGACAGAGACAGGATGTTTCGGAGATGGGACACAGCAAAAAGGGGACACAGCAACAAGGGGGTCACAGCAACAAGGTCACATCAACAAGGGGATACAGCAACAAGGGGACACAGCAACAAGGGGCCCACAGCAACAAGGGGAACACAGCAAAAGAGAGTCACAGCTACAAGGGGACACAGCAACAAGGGGACACGGGCAACAAGGGGGTCACGCTACAAGGGGTCACAGTAACAAGGGGTCACAGCAACAAGGGGGGACAGCAACAAGGGGGTCACAGCAACAAGGGGTCACAGCAACAAGGGTCACAGCAACAAGGGGGCCCAAAGCAACAAGGGGACACAGCAACAAGGGGACACAGCAACAAGGGGACACAGCAACAAGGGGACACGCAACAAGGGGACACAGCAACAAGGGGGACACAGCAACAAGAGGGTCACAGAAAACAAGAGGGTCACAGCCAAGAAGGGTCACAGCAACAAGAGGGTCGTGGTGATGGTTATAAAACCGATAAGTTGAAGAATGAGACACTTGTGCAACAATGGGATCTTTATTGAAGAAACGTTTCGCCACACAGTGACTTCATCAGCCCAATACAAAGTAGAAAATGGGTAAGGAGAGGAGGAGTTCGAGGTAATCAGTCCCTCAACCTGGGATCGATGTGCTAGTCCATCCCCTCTTGTAGGAAGGCAGCATAGGGCCAGGAGGGTGGCTTATATACTGCGGTGAGATGAGTTGAAGCAGGAGGAGGGGGGTCACAGTGGGGGCCTGCCATAGTGTAAGTAGGTCGTCGTCCAAAGGTTGGGGGAAGCGTTGAAGTCTTTGTATTTAAGATCCCATGATGTTGCAGTGTTGCAGATGTGATGTTTTGAAAACCGACAAGTTGAGGAATGAGGCACTTGTGCAACACATGGGAATCTTTATTGAAGAAACGTTTCGCCACACAGTGACGACGACCTACTTACACTAGTGGCAGGTCCCACTGTGATCCCCCCTCCTCCTGCTTCAACTCATCTGACTGCAGTATTTTAAGCACTTCTCTGGCCCTATGCTGCACTTACTACAAGAGTGATGGAATGAACACATCGATCCCAGGTTGAGGGACTGTTACCTCGAACTCCTTCTCTACTTACCCATTTCTACCCTTTTATTGGACTGATGAAGCACTGTGTGGCGAAAACGTTTCTTCGATAAAGATTCCCGTGTGTTGCCAAGTGTCTCAAATTTTTTCAACAACAGGGTCACAGCAACAAGGGACACAACAAGGGGACACCGCAACAAGAGGACACAACAAGGGGACACTGCAACAAGGGGACCAGCAACAAGGGGACACACAAGGGGGCACTGCAACAAGGGGACACCGCAACAAGAGGGACAAACAAGGGGACACAGCAACAATGGGACACAGCAAAACAGGGTCACAGCAACAAGGGGACACAACAACAAGGGGACACAACAACAAGGGGAAAACTGAGAACTGAAAACTCAGATAGTCACAGGATGTTAGGAAGTATTTCTTCAGTCATAGAGTTGTCAAGATGTGACCCCTTGCAACCACAACTAGGGAGCACAATTGGGTGATTTACACACACACACGTCCAAGTGCCTGGACAAAATGGTAATTAACAAAACCACAAAAATAGCACATTTTCTATCTCTCTCTCTCTCTCTCTCTCTCTCTCTTCTCTCTCTCTCTCTCTCCCCTTCTCTCTCTCTCCTCTCTCTCACTCACTCTCTGTGATCCATTTAAATGCTTTTAAGTGACGGAGGATCAAGCATTCATCATTCCTTGTGTTGTATGAAGCACGAACCACACACACCACACACACACACACACCCCACACACACACACACCACACACACACACCCCACACACACACACACACTACACACACACACACCTACCACACACACACACTATTTTCACACACACACCTACAACACACACCTACAAACACACACACCTACACACACACACCTACACACACACACCTACACACACACCTACACACACACCTACACACACACACACACCTACACACACAACAGGCCTAGTGTCTAATCGACATGTGTCTTGGACAAAATGGTAACTAACACACACAAACAC